TTGGAATAATCACCACCGGATATGAAGATATCATGGGACGACATGGACTGGGAGAAAGAAACGAAAATGGAGAAAGATTTGCAAATCTGTGTGCATTCAACAAATTGGTCATAGGAGGCACAATATTTCCACACAAGCGTATACACAAGGCTACATGGATCTCACCGGACCACACTACAAAGAACCAAATAGATCATATTTGCATCAACAAAAAATTCCGAAGGACAATGGAAGATGTGAGAACCAGGAAAGTAGGTGATATAGCTTCACATCACCACCTAATTGTGGCTAATTTAAAACTGAAGCTGAAAAAGAACTGGACAAGTGGACAAACAGCACTACAAAGGTTCAATACAGACTTCCTTCGAGATACTGACAAACTCAATGAATTCAAGATAGCTCTCGACAATAGGTTCCAAGCCTTACAAGATCTACTGAAAGAAGAAGAAACTATTATGGATGACAGTTGGAAAGGGATCAAAGAAGCATTAACTTCAACGTGTCAAGAGGTTCTTGGCCTAAAGAAACACCATCATAAGGAATGGATCTCTATAGAAACACTGGACAAGATCAAAGAAAGTAAGAACAAGAAGGCAGCAATAAACAACAGCCGAACACGAGCAGAGAAAGTCCAAGCACAAGCTGAATACACAGAAGCAAACAAGCAAGTGAAGAGGAGCATTCAGACCGACAGGAAGAAATACGTGGAAGAATTAGCAACGACGGCGGAAAAAGCTGCTAGAGAAGGAAATATGAAACAATTTTACGATACAACGAAGAAACTAGCGGAAAAATACAGTAAGCCAGAAAGATCGGTCAAGGACAAAGAAGGCAGGCCAATCACTGAAATTCAACAACAGCGGAACAGATGGGTAGAGTACTTCGAGGAACTCCTGGATAGGCCGGCTCCAATGAATCCACCGGATATTGAAGCAGGGCACACAGATCTTCCCATAGATGTCAACCCACCAACGACGGAAGAAATCAGAATGGCCATCAGACAAATCAAGAACGGGAAAGAAGCAGGACCCGACAACATACCAGCTGAAGCACTGAAATCAGACATCGAAGCAACCACAAGCATGCTTTATCTTCTATTCAAAAAGATTTGGGAGGAGGAACAAGTGCCGATGGACTGGAAAGAAGGACACCTCGTCAAGATTCCAAAGAAAGGAGATCTGAGCAAATGTGAAAACTACAGAGGCATTACACTACTGTCAATACCAGGGAAAGTCTTCAACAGAGTGTTGCCGAACCGGATGAAAGAAGCAGTAGACGCCCAACTTCGAGATCAACAAGCTGGATTCCGTAAGGATCGGTCGTGCACAGACCAAATTGCAACACTACGGATCATCGTCGAACAATCAGTTGAGTGGAACTCATCACTATACATCAACTTCATTGATTATGAAAAGGCATTCGACAGTGTAGATAGGAGAACATTATGGAAACTTCTTCCACACTACGGAGCTCCCGAGAAGATTGTCAATATTATCCGGAAATCATACGACGGACTACAGTGCAAAATCGTGCATGGAGGACAGCTGACAGATGCATTCCAAGTAAGGACCGGTGTCAGATAAGGCTGTCTACTGTCTCCCTTCCTCTTTCTTTTCGTGGTCGACTGGATTATGAGGACCTCGATATCTGAGGGAAAACACGGCATACAATCGACAGCTCAAAATCAATTGGACGATTTGGACTTCGCAGATGACCCAGCCACCTATCCCATACACATGAACAAATGCAGATAAAGACAACCAGTGTAGCAGCACTCTCTGCATCAGTAGGCCTCAGCATGCACAAAGGGAAAACCAACGTCCTCAAATTCAACACGGACAACAGCAATCCAATCACTTTTGATGGCGAAACTCTTTAAGATGTAGAATCCTTCACATACCTGGGAAGCATCATCGATGAACAAGGAGGTTCAGATGCAGATGTAAAGGCGAGGATTGGCAAAGCAAGGGCCACATTCGTACAATTGAAGAACATGTGGAACTCAAAACAACTTTCAACTAACATCAAAGTCACAAAATATTCAATACCAACTTCAAGATAATTAGTTCTACTGTACGGAGCTGAAACTTGAAAAAACTACTACAAACACCATCAAGAAGGTATAAGTATGTATAATTGGTTGTCTACACAAGATATTCAACATCCATTCGCCGGATACCATCAGCAACAACAGGCTACTGTGGGAGAGAACAAACCAGCTTCCATCTGAAGAGGAAATTAGGAAAAGACGATGGAAATAGATAGGACATAGATTACGCAAATCATCAAACTGCATCACGAGGCAAGCCCTAGCCTGGAATGCTGAAGAGAAGTGGAAACGAGGGAAGCCAAGAACACATTACGTCGGGAAATAAAAGCAGATATGGAACGGGTGAATAACAACTGGAAGGAGCTGGAAAGAAATGCCCAGGACAGGGTTGGATGGAGAATGCTGGTGGCTGGCCTATAATTCTTTACGAGGAGTAACAGGCGTAAGTAAGTGAGTAAGTAAACAATATTTACGCACTAGATGAAGGGGGAAATTTTCGGAAAATGCTGAATACTTGGCACCTTTTGTACATTGGAAATGTATAAACCAACACGAAATGAATTGAATTCAATCAAATTCGAATTATAGTCACTAAGAAAGCTAAGTGAACTATAAGGATATGTGAATGGACATTGGTCATAACTTCTGACATACAGGGAACTTGAATCGTAACTTATTAATGTCTTTGATATACTAGGCTATTTAATATAACTTGGTGATGGTAATATGTGAGTCCAGTTATTATTTGTTTGACCTTGTGGATAAGGTATCGGAATTGCTTGGTTAAACGTGAACAGACTATAATCTATGAGCCATTTTTGGGAGATAATAAAGTAGCCTTAAGAGAATTCAACTATTCACTAAGGTCAAAACAGGATTATGAATTAGAGTGAGATGTTGGGATTAGGGGTCAGAGCTGGTAATTACGTTTAAAAATCAGAACTAAATTTCTTATGATGCACTGACACCGGTTGTAATGCTAAAAGCCTACTTAGTTACATAGATGAAGCTATTTCGTGCAAAAATCCAAGATTCGTTATTTTAAGTTTGATTGGTCCATCCATATCTTCGTCTAATAATTTGCTATGCAGTCGCTGATCGGCTGTCGAACCGTATCTTCTCCCACGAACCAACGGGGAAAAGCAAGAGGAATAGTTACGCAAACCTGTATCTCAGAACAATAGTTAATTAGAAATTCTCATGCCTAAATATATGAACAACTATACCACAATGCACCATAATTTCATAGAATACAATTCGTGCCGAAAACAAAATTTCTGGAGATTATTTACTGTGTAGTTTACATCAAGAAATAATTTTGGCTAAACAAGCATTAAGAATTAGGGAGAGTTGGATTGCTGTTTTGTACCAATGCTATTGAATTAGTGCTATTCTGCGTCCATATTATTATGTGATTGGAAACTTATAAACTATGGCTTATTTTTACTAATTCTTCTTATTGGTTGTTAAAATTCAATTATTCATTTGTATTAAACTGTTGTTGCAATTAAGATTATGCAAAAAATGATGAAACGTGGAACGATTAATTGTATCAAGAGTCTGATGTGTGAAAACACTTAGAAATGTCGAGTCCTCTAGACTAGTGACTACAATGCACTTTAATCAATAGAATCCGATCTGCACTAAAAAGGACCTAACACAGATGATATTGATCACCAAAACAGTGATCAATACATTGTGAATATATCTCAGTCCTACAGGAGGTCAGTTGGGGCCTGGATTGCTCAGTGGTAACGTCTTTGACTGTGAAGCTGAGTGACACGGGACCTAATCCGTCAGGGAGTATAATTTCCCTTAAAAATAACAAGTACAGTTTGCTGATGAGTATCAAATGGCACGAAACCTGGGTTCAGAGTTTCCTGTTGAATACCTCCAACCACTATCTTATTTCAACATAGTGCATGCAATGTTGTGTCCCCTAGACTAGTGACTACATTGCAATTTGATCGATAGAACCCGATCTACACTAAAAAGGATCTGACACACAAGATAATTGATCAGCAACCAATGATCAATCCATTGTGAACATTTAGGAAATGTTTTAAACAAAACAGAAACCACAATGACACCTTTGATATCCTTATAAACAGAGTGATTTATACTTTATCTCTATTTAAAAAAAAGTTATTTATAATACATCACATAAATAAAGAAAGAAAAGAAACGCATTAGATAACACTGAATCATATTGAATAAAGATATTGATTTGTAAACTAAACTATCACCCATTTATAAAAGTGATCCTAAATTCGATTTTTTTTTGTAATAATAATCATTAGTGATACATTTGTTACTATGATTCTATACAATTACAATTTGATCAAAACACTAAAAAAATCATTGAACTTTTAATAGAATATCATTGATAATGAAAAGTTTCATTCATAAAATAGATTGAAATGATTTATATTCATAAAAATAATTATCATTTATGATGAGAGTAAATCATTGGATTAACTCCGCATGGAGTCTCTCCGGGGGCTACTGACGGTCCCAAGCCCGGATAAAAGAGGAGGGTTGGGTATGGAGTTGGCGACCCCATCCCGTAGAAAACTAACTCGCTAAAAAGAAACGCTAACCAGAAAAAATAAGCATTGGATTCTAACAACAACAACGAAAAAGAAAACAAAAAAGAAGAAAACAATGTACAATAATCGAAAGGGATAAGTTAGTAACCAGACGAAATATACATGTGTGTATATGTAGTTATTTGGTGAATGAGTGTTTCATGTATTGTTTTGTTTTCTTTCTTTTTGTTTTACATTATACCCTTCTACTATTGATGGTTGTTTATTTAAAGATTTGAATAAATATAGAAAAAGAGATTGAGGATGAGTAAAGGACAGATGAAGAATATGATCAATGATTGTACAAAAAACAAATAGGGATTAAATGTTTTTTCTGTATTTGTGTCTGTGTCTCTGTGTCATTATGTTTTATTATTATTAACATTTGTCATTGTTGAACTCACTATAGATTTAGCATTGAATAAAGCTTTTTGTAAATAACGTGACATTTTTCTATTTCGTATTTTACGTTTAGCAGTACGATGTAATTGTTTCACCATAGATAATTGATCAGCATGTGCATAATATAATAAAAAATGATTCACTAATACAGGTATTGTATAGGATACTAATAATGTACCTAATATAATACATGCTGTAGCAACTATATAACCTCCTGTATTATTTGGTACTAAATCTCCATAACCAACAGTAGACATAGTGATTAATGCCCACCAAAAACCTTTTGGTATATCGGTAAATGTTGGATCCACAAAATAAATTGCTGCACCAAAAAATAATGCACTTACTAAAATTAATATAATAATAATCGATAAATCTGTAATAGTTGTCCGTATAGTATAAAATAATACCCTTGTCCCTCTATGTCGTCTTAATAAACGAAATAATCTTAATACAACAAATACTTTTAAAATGATAAAATATTCTTCTACTTTGAGAATACGAATTAACCACCATATTGAATCTGGATTAGTATGATAATGATTATCATTATTATAAGTATAAACTAATTCATAAAAGATAAATTCACAATAGAATGGTACTAAGGATAAAATATCAATCAATGTAGATAATGAAAAGAACCAAATTAGAAAACATGGACAAAAGATCATTCGTATTAATACATCAATAGTAATAGCTATAGAAAAGAAAATATCCATTTGTACAAGCCATTTAGATGGTAATGTAAAATAACTATAATTTGTTTTATCCGATTGATTAAATAAAGTGATAATTTCTAAATGATTATTTGTATAATCAATAATGGTATCATTATAAGCATCTGTATATCCAGTAATATTCATATAAAATGGGATACGATATTCTTTCACTGTGGATAACATAAATACACCAACAGCGGATGTTATAATTAACGTTTCATAAATAAAATAAAAATGTCTTAACCATATTAAATAAATTGATTCATGATTATTCATTGGATAGCAACTAGAACATTTTGTATATTTATTGATTTTTTCATGACAACAATGATGAATTGATTGAATTGTTGTAGATAAATGAAATGATTTTGATTCTAAACTATCATCAGATTGTTCATTACTAATCGAATAATGATTGATTGGATTTATTGATTTCTGATTTGAATTAAAACTATGATTATCATTGGAATTTGATTGATCACTTGTTGAACTATAATCATTACAGAATAATTCATTAGGTGTATATTGTTTTCTATGTCTATAATTACTAAAACGTGAATGTATAAGTCTTGGTGATATATCTATAACAGACCAAATTTTTTCACGAAATAATTGCCAACGATAAGATCTATTAAGGAAGAAAACAGAAGAAAGAAGATTGATATTCTGTTCTAGGGGAAAAAAAGCAGAACAATTTTTTTCAAAATTCAATAATAAATTCATGGAAAACATAAGATACATGGTAGAAGTTTGTACTGATGATGTCGGTCAAAAGAACGATGAAAGTTCCACAATCAAATCATCCAGCTCAGAGAACAAAACTTCATCAAAATCATTCACTCGAGCTACAAATCTTCTTCATCATTATCTCATAAGAAATTTTTTTTATTTTGGATGAATCTACCACTGACAATCATGACCTCATTTTAGTTGACTTTTCATTAACTATCCATATTATAAAGTCTACATGCAAGTAAGATTCTGTGAAGAACTAAACTGTGATGTGATGTACAATTGAAAAATAAAACACACTGAGAATGTTTGCAAAGATTTTATCATTCTTTTAAAATGAAATTGAAATGTTTTTCTTTCATCATTTTGAGTACAGTGATTGTATATTACGCGTTAAAATAGCCAATCATGATTTTACCATTCCCACTCACAGCATTCCTTCTATATCTGACCTGTACTGTTAAAATTGAAAAGATATAAGCTAAGCTTCTATTAGTGTGTTACACCTGGGACTTTCTTCACTTCTTGCCTTTAGAAGCGTGAATGAGTTAAGCGAATGTCCGGAGCTTTAATCCCGTTGATGGATATGGATAATCCACTTAGGAGAGTTGGAAAATCTTGATTTCGAACCAATGGTGCATATGGGATGCAAGATCCTAAAAAACAAATGATTTATGAACCAATGGTTGGTCACCAGCTACTATGAGATTGAATCTCTTAAAGTTGGTCCACTGCCTTGTGGATTAGACCCTCAAATCAATGTCTCGGGGTGTGGCCCACTGAGAAAAACACCTGTTTTGTTTTGAGCACCCAGACAGTGTTTCAGCACAGGCTGAAATTAAGTGACTTGTGTGACGCATATGTAATCGGTGCCAATTTGTACTAATATTTATGTGTTCTAATAATAATAACGATGAGCTGAATAAAAAATGTCTCTTATGTTAGATTATCTGAGATACAACTTTAGATAGAACCATTTTGAAAGCTCACTCTTTGTATGCAATGTAAGATGTTAAATTACTGTGGGAGAGAACATTTGAAGAGGCAATTAGGATATGATGTTGGAAGTGGATAGAACGCACATTGAGAAAATCATCAAACTAAATCACGAGGAATGCACTAAATTAGAATCGTAAAAGGAAACAGAAGAGAGAAAGGCCAAAGAACACACTGAATCAGGAATTGAAAACAGAATCAGAAAGATTAATAGCAACTGAAAAGGGTTGTCCAGGACAGAGTTGGATAGAGAATGCTGGTGGTTGGCTTGTGCTCCTCGATGAGGGGTGACAGGTATAGGTAAGTAAGTAATATAAAATGTCAAAAGTTATTTTCTTGTTAGTTTTAAAAAGATCTATTTACTGAATTCTATAACTGACTACTTTGTGTACAAGCATACCGTTGCTTACCAGATACCTTGCATGTTTCCATAAACACATTAAATTACATAGAACACATGTCTGGATAATCATTAAAGTAAACACTCAGGTATTATGTTCGCTTCCTCTCTCTCCACATTTTTCCAGTCAAATGAGTGTCCACAGTTGTCTATGTGCATTGTTGTAAGTGAGGAAATATCATGACATTTGACTGGGAATGGAGGTCCAAAGGACAAGTTTTGAACCATATGTGGAGGAGTTCGAACACTTCACTTCTATCTGAAGTTTGTGCTGATGATGATGTCGTTTAGAAGAACGATGGAAGCTCCACAACCAAATGATCCAATTCAGAGAACAAAACTATTCAAAAAGCACCATGTATACCATAACATTCACGGCAAACATTTTGAAAAAGTAACAAAAGTCTTAACTCCAATTTGAAAAAATTCATTTACAAATATATTATGCGGAGAAAATTCATCTAATCATTACATCATAGAACAATCTAATGAATAGAGGATGTTTGATAGAAGAAATAAACTATCATAATGATGGAAAACTTTCCATAGAAATTGCGTAGAAGTTATAATCTTGTTACATTTTACAATGATGACTATTTAGAATCTATTTTTGTTTTTAGTTCCAATTATAAAGATTAAGCCTAAAATCTGAATATGAATGAATGAATAATCGTATCAATATGTACTCAATGAATGTTAGATGGTGGTTGGAGGTAGTCGACAGGAAACCCTGAACTATACAACATCTGCACTAATAAGGACTAGACACGCATGACATTGGTCGCCACCCAGTGGCCAATCAATTGTGACTCAATGAATGTATCAACTAGAGAATTCATGATATTTGATTGAACATGTTCACATCTACGCAAAGTTTAAATGTTTACCATGAGTTTAAAAAGAATTAAATAGGTTTTATCAATTCAGGAGGAAAACCTTGATTTATAAGCTAAATCAATTGATAATGTAGTTTATATTTAGACAATATTCAGTGGTCCTATGATACTTCATAGAACTTAGAACCCCAATTTCACTAATAAATATTTGATAGTTGAATTTATAGTCAATTAAAGCTAGATCACCCTGAAAAACATGAAAGTATTGTACGACTGTTTCGCCCTAGTATAAGACTCCTGAGCTCAGGGTTCGAATCCCGCGGGGTGGGATCATGGGTTCACACTGTTGAGGAGTCATATACTAGAACAAAACAACCGTCCAAGTTTTCCATGGCGATCTAGCTTTAATTGACTCATGAATCCAATTATTAAATTACTAAAAATCTCCACAAAACCGCCTTTTAATTATATTCAACTATCATTGGTAATGTGAACGAAAATTTTCGAATTTATATTTTCAATAACATAATGTACTTTATAATGTTTACCTTTCTTTGGCAGTGTATTAGTTTCAAGTGTATGTTTATGATTATAGAGGTTTAGTGGGGCCTTTTATTTTGTCTACATTTAGACTGGACGATGTTCATCGAAGGGCTCTCCACTTTAGTGGCCCAGGATGTGACTCCAAGTAGATCATATGAATGTTTGTTATCGCCTATCCTCGTATATAATCATTGAATTAAATCGCGTTAGTCAATAACGGAATTGAATAAGCCAAATAACGAGAATGGACTTTTAGATACATATATTTTGTATATGAAGCGAATGGAATAGAAAGAAGCAAAACGACACGCGATGAAGAAGACATATGAGCCAATTCCATTTGATTAAGCGTTAATCAATATTTATAGTCACACAAAAACAGGCTGCAGACATGTAATGAGCAATGGGATAAGAAGTGAACACACACCTATGCTCTCATATAAAAACAGTGACGACTGATAAGCAGATAATTAACAAGGTCTAAATGTGACTCAAATAGAATGAATAGATTGGGCTATCCGAAAGCTAGAATAAGCCATATAAGCTTAACGTGTCAACCGACACTACAGAGGATTAAGAAAAGCAAAGAATGAATTGATTTGAAGTCATTCAGTATATAAGAAATTTATGATTCCATTAGAATAATTAAATGAAATATGATATGTATCATATGATAATTAAGGTGTTCTGACTGAAACAAACACAGTGTATCAAAGCCTAATGTTTAATGAAAACATTTGACATTGTCATGTGGTATCACTAAAGGTCACTTTTACTAGTTTAAGCACAATGTTAAAAGGAAATTATTCAAACAATGACAAAAGTTAAACCAAGTAACTTAATCTTATAAAACCAAATACTGAAAAAAATCTGCTTAATTTTGAAGATTGTTTAAAAGGTGTATTTTAATGCTTAAAATAAATAATGATCAATATCAATCATTTGTCGGCGAGACTCTAATTTATGGACGAGCCAATCAGAGGCGTTTTAGAGGTTTTAAGGTTACGGCACCAACTTCAGTGCTTAATGCTAACGTACGATAGGTTCATAGGGAATTTTGTACAAAACGTGATAATTGAGCGGCTATAAAAAATAAAACGGCGGGACTATAATTTATGGACGAATCAATCAGGTATAAGATAATAGATCTCGGATTTTAACGCGAAAGCCTTTCATCCATTTGGCTAAATAAATTTCTGGCATTATAGCTGATGTCAGTTCATGATGAAAATCCTATATATAATTCCTAACTAAGGCAAATTATGACAATTATTGCGAACTGGATAATAAAACCACCGGTAACACTGGTTGCAACCAGGTACTACAATATATACGGATGTGTGGAGAGCGTACAGACTCCTATATAGACTTGGTTATGTGCATCGTATCGTTATCCACAAGAAGCATTTTGTGCACTCCACAACTGGAGTGCACACAAGCAATATTTAACCTATGTGGTCGAGGCTGAAAGAGTTTTTGAGACTTTGTCATGGCTCCAGATGCCAACTATTCTGTAGCCATATGGATGATTTCCTCTACTGCATGCATTAGAATTTTAGAACCTCTGAACCTCTTTCTAACTATGACAAGTTTTTGAACCACGTATAAGATGTGTATCCACTTTATTTCTTTGGTTTTTTATAACATATTTTTACTGTATACTGGGTGTTTGCTGACTGGTTAATATTCCTCAAGGTTACTTAAGATTCGTTCAAAGGTTATCCATAAATTAGAGTCTCGCTCATTTGTCTAGTCCTTAATCATGTTAGAATCTTATCTGTCAAGTGTTGATATTAAAAACACAAAGTTTAGTGAACGGATCTCTTTTTAACTAATTTGTTATCAAGTTGTACAAATCGCATATCAGTCAGTCAGTCAGATACAAAGTAGGACCAGCTACATATATGTATCGGTTCAAGTTGCTATACCACATTAGCACAGCAAGATGAACACCAAATTCATAGGAGCAGTTAATTCAATGGTAGTAATATATAAGAAAAAAGGATTATATATAAGAATATGATACAGGGAGAAAGAATTAGTTCGTAGAAAGAAAGGTTTAAGACAATCTTATATGTAAACACTAGTTCCGTCAGGATATGTGAACAAGGAATAAACTTG